TGATTTGCATTTTCTGTATATTTTAGGTGAGTCATCATCCTCCTATGAGTGTTGGACATTGTGAGAATGAGCATTTTACATATGATCTGACATCAAAGCTGAAGACTAAATTTTTAGGCAACTCCCTTGATGTTTATCCCATGGGAAGGTAAGTAATTTATTTATTTTAATCTTTTATGGTGCTATCTAATTTCCTAGTAGGTGTTTGTGGTTAAGGTTGCACTTGATGTATGCGGTGCAAAGTATGCCTAGCCTTTTTGTGGTGTGATGCCAATTTAAAATGATCATAAAATAGGTTTTTGAAGATACATTGGTTGGGAAAATTGTAATTTCTTTTAGACTTGTGGTGATCATTTTTAAATGAAAACTGTATGTGAGTCTTGCTCATAGTTGTCGTCAGTAATTTCTTTGATAGACCCCATTCTAGAGGCCTTGAAATTAGCTTTAGTGAACTACAAGAGCAAAAAGTATCCTTTAGTCATGCTATGTTTCTCACACATTATAGCCAATTGTACTACATCCTCAAAAAGTGAGGTGGTTTCATGGCAATCGTCTGCCTTATATTAGGGTCAAAACCAACGATTTACCTGATTGTTTTGTGCTCAAAAGATACCATTCAAGTTAAATATCATCAACATTAGTTTTTCAAGTTCCTTAGTGCATTGTGCAATTGACATGGAGCCTGAGCCTTTACTTTAATGAATTGTTTTTGGTGCAAGCACCTTTCAAGTTACAGGTTTCCCTTTCGTTCTGCTAAGCACATTTCTGTAATTCATAAACTAGAGAATGGCCAATTTACATTAGTATCATTGCAATCTTTGTTGTCAAGATGTTATTTTCCTCAATCCATTCAAAGGATGCAAGAGGGTTATAGTTACCTTCCAAGTATAGAAGCTCTGTTTTGATGATTGATATCCTAATCATCATCTCTGTTGAACCTTTATTGCTTCATTGGAATCTTTCTTTCATCTCCAAAAGCTCTGCCATCTTCAAATTTTCTTTGGGGTAGGTATGCCACTTTATCTTTAGCTTGCCAATTTAATTTTTACCCAAGACTTGTTTAAGACGTTGGCTTCATTGACATGTTCCTTTGGAAGTTGGAATTGGATATATCATGAAATGAGTTCTTTTTATCTTCCTCAGTTTAAGCTGAGGAATTACATATGTGGATTTAGAGTTTGACAATTGAGGATTTTGAAAAACTATAGGCAGAAAAGGATAATTTCAGAATATGCGTTGAGGTGTACTGTGGAGAAAGAAAGGGAGGACGTAAAATGATTGGGAGGTTTAAAATTTCAAGCTTTTGCTAACCCACTAAGATTTTTGCTCAGATGTCAGCTTTGATGATATATGTATCCTTGACATGCATACCAAAAGTTGATGTGTACAGGCCCCTTGTAATTCTGATGATTTGAATCAAAATCTTCCAAAATTAATGTTTAAAAGAAAATATTTTCAGGGTTATTTGTTCTGACATTGAACGGGAAAATAGAGATATGAACTCACATTAGAGAAAGAAAGGCTAAAGCAGTTAAACAAGGAAGTAAAAATACTCCAATGAACTAGCAACAAGCTTGGATTAACGAAGCATCAAAGTCACAAAAGGAAAAATGTAATCACTAAGGCAATATCATTAACAAGCTAAAGAACTCACTCTCTCTCTATCTCTCTCTTTTGTTGAACCCTATGTGGAAGCACATATTTCCTGGCGTTAACTATTATCAGCATCATGCTTGCATCACTAATGAGTAAAATCAAAAGAATTCTATTGCTAATGCTTGATGAAAGCTACAGCACAAGGGCATCAGGGGACATGAAATGGTTGTGCTAGCTCAGTGTGGATTGTAGAAGTGGTGTTGCTTACTTCTTGCCTCATTCTGGGGCTCTTTATTTCCTGGACTTTAATGAACAGAGTAGTGTGAGCTCGTATGACGGCTGTGCAGCCCCTGGTATGATCTAGAAGCTTTTTATTTAGGCATGTAGGAGTCATGCCTAGCATGACCAGAAACAACCAGAACTTAGACCCATGACTCTCATTTCTGTTTTATCTCTATCCAAAGTGGGTGCTTTGACATCACTATTACTATTACTCTATGTTAAAAAATAATTCTATATCTCTTGATTCTTGACACATTTATTTTCATGTGAATTAGTGCTGTGATGGATAGTCCGATAGTATATGGCAGTGAAGCTTACTACATCATAATGTTTTAGTTTGCTGTGTTATTAATCATGGTTATCTTGAATGCAGGACACGTGTCACTCTCAAAAGAAGTGGTGTAGTGTTGGATTTGGTCCCACCTCCTACAAAAGTTCATAACCTAATATTTGGCCGAACTTGGGTGGATTCACCTGGCGAGATGATACTGACCAATTTAACTACTGGAGATAAAGTTGTGCTGTATTTTCAACCATGTGGTTGGTTTGGGTATGTAGTGATTTTGTTTCTTTAATTACAAAATTTTTATTCCAGACAATGATGCGCTTAGTATTTTCTCTGCTTGATTATCTTCTTGTTTTATTATTATTATTATTAATTTCTTTATTATTATTCCTTTGTTTTGACATACAATACCATCATCATAGTGTCTAATAAGACTCGCATTAGAATGTTTGAAAGACAATTAACATGCTAGCTCTCAGCCAATAAGTAGAGGATTGTTTAGTAAGACATTTGGCTTAGTCCATGGCATTCTGTAGTCAAATGTGTGTCTCCAAGTTTGATTTGCCAGTACCATTTGTTAGCCCTAAGCCCATGCAGAGTGCACTTGTTACGTGCACTTCCTGTTTCTGGCTTTCTGCTATAAGTCTAATTTATTACTTATTTTTATTATTTATTATTTATTTTTTTATATAATTCTTACCTATTTTGGCTTAGAATAGTTAGATGGGTATTTGACATGGCTTATCCAGTGTTGCTTGTTTTTATATGTCATTAGATTGGCAAGTGGCAACTCTATTTCAAGTCTGCAGGCTTGAAGACTATTTTATTTCCCTGCACTCATTTTTCTTTAAGGTTTATTCTGGCTTATTTAAGGTTGTATTTTCTTGTAGAGCTAGTCGATATGAGGTGGATGGTTATGTATATGATGCTAATGAGGAGCCTAAAATATTGATGACCGGAAAATGGAACGAGTCAATGAGTTATCAACCATGTGATGTGGAAGGGGAACCTCTACCTGGCACAGAACTGAAAGAGGTTCATATCTAAAAAAACTTCAGTTTTTCTCTGATATGTCTTTATGGCTTTAATCTCCTAGAACCATTCAATGAAATATTTTGAGCATAAGGGTGGATACGCGGATGGAATTGAACATGATGACTGGCTTATTCTTAAGCCTTATGACTGTTAGAACTTAGATGTGTCAGTTTTGGTGTTTCTTTATCTTTCCTATAATAAATCTATGAATGTATGAGTATATCTTACTTAATGGATTTATAATAGTCTATGAATATCTGATGAAATTTAAAAAAATAAAAAATGATGCTTAATTCTCTTTCAGTGATAGGATTCTTCTATGGGTAAAAAAAAAAAAAAAAAAAAGATAGGATTCTTCTATTCTGCATGATATCTAGTATAAAGTATTAAAGTCTCAAAACTAAGGGTCTTTTCTATTCTTTTCATGTTGTTTGAACTTATTATGTCTAAAATTATTTTATATGAGCTTATTTGCTTTAACTTGTCTGAAATTATCTGAGCTCATTAAACTTATTTTAACTTAATTGGTTTGAAATAATATATGGTCAGTAGTTCATCAGCAAATTACGCGCCTTTATGTAATCTTCAATTTCTGCTAAATTTGGTTTCAGTTTTCACACCCTCATCATGACTGTTGTTTATGTATACATTTTGCAGGCTTGTCATCTTGATACTCCGAAAAATGACAAATATCAATATACATACTTTGCCCACAAGATAAACAGTTTTGATACAGCCCCCAAGAAGTTACTGGCATCAGATTCACGTTTACGGCCTGATAGATATGCTCTTGAGATGGGCGATTTATCCAAGTCTGGTGCTGAAAATATGGTCGTGTTTCTACATTTTTGGACTGTTCCATGAAATGGAATCAACAGATGAACAGAGGTGAGAGGTCCTCTATCATCTATCAAGTCTTCCTCATCGGTATGCATGGTCGTCCTGTTTACCATATCTTCAAGTTGGATGTATAAAGACCAGGTCCATCTACAGATAGCTTATGTTTTACCATCTTTTTTGATTGTATATTGCTTGTTTGAATTTTGTACTCGTAGTTGACAGACATTAAGCTCTTTATCTGTTCCAGTTTAGAAGGAAATTCCTTGTTCAATGTTTTGTCAATCTTCATGTACTGATTTTTGCCGGTCATAGGTTTTGTTCATAGCTAGCTTCATATGCTATACTTGTTATTTGGTTATTTTTACTATATTTCATGTACTAATTTTTGCCCGGTCATAGGTTTTGTTCATAGCTAGCTTCATATGCTATACTTGTTATTTGGTTATTTTTACTATATTTCATACATTCGTTGTGATGAAAACTAACATTGAGCAACTCAATGAACTCATTTGACAAACCGATTCCATTGCAATTACTAATAACTACGACGATGAGGAAGCTTTAATGGTGGTGTGGGTGCCCTTCCATTTATATGCGTTGCTCCATAGTAACGTTACATTTAGTATGACTGGACATGGACATCATTCTTCAGCTAGCATATGACATCTCAAAAACATTGTTGATGAAAAAAAAAACAAAGCCAATAGATAAACATTACCCGTTTATCTATAAGATCAATGGAGTCGCCTCTTTTTTTTTGGTATAATGTTATAATAAACTTAAATAAGGATAAATCTAGGTCATGCAAGAGTAAACATTCAGAAAGTCATAAAAAAATTGAGATATTAAAAGTACTAGTAGTCGTTTACAAGAATATTTTGAGCCTTCTAGTCTTCTAGCATGGTGGTGGCTCCAAGCCTCCAATGTCGACCTCCAACACCTTTGTGGTGTTGGATTTTTTTTGGTATGTTTTCGGGTAAGCAATTAAGGTGGAAGTTAGTTTAAACAGGTGAATAAAAGAATGGTTAGTCCCTCCATCTTTCCGAAAGTGATGTAGGTTCGATTCTTCATAGCCCCCATTCCTGTGATAAGATAGGGTAATTTTTTATTTTTTTTGGTTGGTGTTAAGACGGCAACGAGCATCAAATAGGCAGAGAAGTTCTAACCACTTGAGGTATCCTTACTTTTTTTTTGGTGTTTAGAGAGCCACAAGGGCGGGGGAGAGAATCAATCCCAGATCCCCTTAAACCGGGAGGAAAACTCTAACCACTTGAGCAATCTCTCACTCTCTTGAGATATCCTTACTCAAAAAACTACTACTATTTTAGTTCCTTTCATTCTGATTTCCTTTATACTTACTTCCTACTAGTATACTTTTGGTCACACTCATCAATTCATCATTTTAAAGCTCAACAAAAATTGAGCCTGCATAACAATGGCGTTCACACCTGTCTCTTTGCCGCAACTTTCAATTTCTCTTCCTCGCCCTTCATTGCTACCACGGTAATATTTTATTCAAAACTCTACATTTATTTAATTTAGATTACTCTTTTTTCTTGATTCCCAATCAAATTTAAGCTTGTTTCAGTGTTCAATATCATCTATTTTTTCTTTTTATTATATTTATTTTTATTAAGAAGTATATAATTTTTTTTCCGAATGTTGCTAGTTGAAATAATTGTTTACAATTTGGAGTGAAGTCTTATCAAATTGAAGGCAATTTGAGAATTTTATGGATTATGGCTAATTTGATAGGATTATATATATGAATTTGTAATGCTTTGAATGTGAATTGTTTACCATATTGAACTTGGGTTATATAAAAATCTTGATATGATTTTTTGGATTCCATGCAAAAGAAATGATTTTTTTTGTTTCGATAGTTGCTTTATGACATTTAGAATCAAAAACTAAATATTTGGTTAGAGAAATTGTTGCATATGATTGGAAAATACAGTCATTCACAGAAAAGAAAGTTACTTGACATTAGAAATTAGGACATAATATTTGATGGCTGGCTAACACTTTGCTATAATGCAACTTATTCTTTGAAATCATAATAGCTTGCTAGTCACTTAGCAATATTAAAATCCTTGTTAGTTGGCGATGATATGTAGTTGTCAATTGTCATACATTAACTCATGTCCTTTGTTAGAACGGGCGATAATATGTAGCTGCTTAGTTGGCCTAAATAATGGGAAAAATGTGATATGATATACAGTTATACACCTAGAGGATAAAGCTGTTTTTGAAGGAATTTGCTAGTATAAGAAATTAAGAATTGCCAATGTCATGCTATAATTTGTTTTTCGGGGTAAGAAGGGGTGGAAATATCCTCTCCGCAAGAAGTTAGTTTCCTATTCTTCTCCATTCTCTTGTAGATACGGAGACAGGAGAAGTATCTACTCTAGAAATAAATGTAGCATTTTAATCATTTTGTGTTTACTTTCTTCTCTCTTTCCTAGTTTTCTCCATCTCACTAACACAAGGAACCTATGTATAAAATACAAAGTAGTTTAAAAGCCGATTAAAGTTCTATAAAACATAATATACAAATAAAAAAACTTCCTTAAATCTAATACAACCTTGAGAAATTTCTCTCAAAATTCATGCATTAATTGATGAAACATGAGGTTGAGATTTGTTTGAGAATATTGCACCATTCTTTTGCAAAGAAATTTCTTGTTCATTTGCTGCCAACAGTTTCCTTACAATACTTATACTCCCTGTCTCTCTCGTTTAAATTGTGAAAACATCCCAACATATTAAACTAATTATGACTTTGCTGAAATCAGAAGCTTTTTAGCTCAGTGACAGTTTTATTTGTTAGTTAATTTGAGTACGTTTTTTTATAATTTGAAAATTACTGTGTAATTCAACACTTGTACAGTCTAACTTATAATCTCTGTTGTCTTTTACAGTGGTACAGCTAGAAAACTGAATGTTACTGCAAATTACTCTGTTTCCGATTTTGCTTCTTTGACTGCTAGAAACCTTTCAAGGAGGATGTTACTTTCCATGGGAGCTGTACCTATCTTGTATAATGTAAATCTTGCTCTTGGTGCACCAATCCCTCAGATGGAGGAGCCTGAAATACTTCGGTAAATTGCCAAGTTTTTCTAGCATTTCTCTTTTTCTATAACTGGCATGCTACTCAACTCATCTTCTGTGCGAATGACATTTGATGTTTGAAGTATCCAGTACCAGGAAGCTTCCCAGTGGAGTAAGGGTTCAAGGTATATTTGTCATTGGACATCATTCTCTCTTGCAAGGTTGCTGGTTTAATTATGGTCCTGAACTTGATGTTTCCCTGTGTATTAATGTATTATAACATTTAACTTGTTCATAGTCTTTATACTGAAAATTTCTGCTGCAAAGAGTAGCTTTCATATTCCTAGAGTATCACTCTTATGGTCTGTTGGCTTTTTGCCTTTTTTTATGCTACCTTTCCCTTCAGCCAAGATGTGTATTCTTTCTGTCTAGAGTAATTTATGTGCTGCCCATCCAGTGTACTCCAAAGAGATAACAGCAGCATAGAAGTTTGCGAGAGAATGAAGGGTGTGTAGCACTAAGTAAGTCCATTATTTGCTGATTATTGGTACCATCAGCAAAGGTACAATACCTGTTCATTGCCTTGACTCAATCGGTTATTATGTGTTTGGATAGGGTAATATTAAGAGAAGGGGGAGGGAAGAGAAACTGCCTTGTTTGGATAAAATTGGTGAAGAGGGAAGGGATTGGAATTGGAAATTGGAGGGATTAATTTTCCTTCCTTTCTAATAAGCCAAATCCTTTCAATGTTAAAAGAGAGGAAAAAGCAAGATCACTTCTTCCCTCCCTTTCCTTTCTCTCTCCTTCCCTCCCCTTTCCTTCCACTATAGCTATTTAGAATTTTAAGCATAGTGTTAGTTTTTGTCAAAAATTGGAAGATGGAGGCAGGGGATGGACTATTCCAACCTATTATGTTTGCAAGCTCTTTTTCTTTGAGCATGAAGTACTGATAACATGGTGAAAATTCCAGACTAAGTTAAATAACTCCTTAATACATTCAAGTAGGATTAAGATTCACACTAGCACCAATCCTTGACCCTCAGGTGAAATCTATACAGCCCTATTACTTGTAGATATCATCTATGCCATCGCTCATGTATAATGGCTATGCTCTGTGCATGGTTCAATCATAGAAATTTTCTGAGTTGATTGTGGTCTATTTCAGATATTGTTGATGGAGAGGGACCAGCAGCTGAGGAAGGTGATGTTGTAGCATTTAATTATGTTTGTCGGCGATCAAATGGGTATTTTGTCTACAGGTATGCGAAATTGCAAATTACATAATTCATCCCCCACACCCTCCAGCATGTTCCTTCTTTTCTAATCTTTGTGCTATACTGCTATGCCATGTTTTCATCGCCTATTATTCTTTTTGGAATAACTTTGGCTTATTGATTCCCATTACTATAATTTTTAATCTCTTTCTTTAATCTTATTCTTTATCAAGTTCTGGAAACTATGCTTTGTTGTTTCACTTCCCTTCTCCCATATTTGTGCAAATCACCCGTATGTTCCCAGGCTTATTCTATTTGATGCATATGATTCAGCACAGTAGATCAATTTACTGGAGAAGCCATGCCTGTTACACTAACTCTGGATGAAAAACAGGTAAATAACCCGTGCAACTAGAGCTCTAAAAAGTAAGGACGTAATTCTAGGAAATAGTTTCATTCTGATTGCTCCTTTAATAGTACTCCTAACTCTTATATTGGTGCAATGGCTTGTTGGTGCATTGTTTTTCTGCTTTAAATTGCAATGAGTCAATAAATCGTCTCTTTAAAGGCCTGTTCATTATTGGTTTTTGTTTCCATTTTTTTTTTAAAAACAATGAAACAAATACAGAAAAATCAGAAAAAGTGGTTTTCATTTTTCTGTTCTCAATTTTCTAAATAATCATGATATCAATAGGTTTGGCTAATTATTGATTTTTTATATGGCATATATCTTATGACTTTCAAAAACAAAAAATTACAGTGATATCGAACGGATCCTGTCTAATTTAAATTTTATTGTGAACTAATAAACATCCAATGCCTTTTTTTCAATGTGGGTTATTGCTTAAGAACATTTTCTCTTAATTTGTGCCTCTTGGGACTTAGATATGTATATATACTACCCACTTAACCTCTTCATAGGCAGAAGCCTCTTGAGAGGTATGGGGTCATGGTACAGTGTGGTGCTTCTTGATGCTCAAGGACGTATTATATACATCTTTGGTAGCGTGAGCATCTGTGATTGCTTTTGGAAAATAGTTATAATTTTGAGATGTGTAAGTAAGTAACTAATATTGTGTTGTGTAAACAGATCATAAAAGGCTTGAAGGATGTATTAATTGGCATGAAAGTTGGAGGTAAATTTTGAATGGCATTTGGGTGAATATCTGTATTGTTCAAGGAAGATGTGTTACTTGTCTAGTATTAGGCTTCTGTATTATTGCTTGAGCCTTGAGCACCTAATACCGAAACAACCACATGTGGTACTACGGTACTACTTATTAGTGTGTCAAACTATTGAAATGTTTTGAGACCCCTTTCTAAGCTGATTATATTCACTTGGATGTTTATTTTGGTGCATGTATTTAAATTGCTGAAGGTGATACTATACTATAATACCTGGATATTCCAAAAGGTGTACTACACACTTTAGTCTGTGATCCTGGATCAGTTTCACTCCTCTTTTCTGTTATCAAAACGATTCATTCTTTCTTATCTAAAGGGGAATTCCATGTGACAGATTGACATATTGCTTTAATTAGATCTAAATCTTGGTAGTGACATGCTCCGTATGTAATTAGAGAAATCCTAATTCCTAAAGGTTGATTACTGAGCACATGTGAAGCATCTATTCGTATCATCGTATTCTAGGTTCAATCTTGAAATTGCAAATGATTTAGTACGGGGCTAATCTTAAGCTTTAGGTGGTTTGCTGTATAAACCTCTGTCGTTCTTCTGGAAAAGTTGCAACTCAATCTATTGTATCTGCTTCATGTTGCCTAGGTTTCCACATCTCTTTTCTTATTTCATCCTCCTAGATTTTTGCATCCCTTCAGTTCTAATCTCTTGTTGCTGGCCAAGAAATGGAAATAGCTCTGTGAGCCTACCGTAATTCAAGGAATAAAATACAGGTTCATCACTTAAATTCAATTTCATAGGCCTGTTTAGCAGCTAGGCCACATGTTCCTAAAAGCCTAATATAAGAAAGTGTGAATAACAGGCTTCTCTGAGACCATCGTTACCTTTCTCATGCTTCTACAGTGACTGGAATCATCCTATTGAGTCTCATAAGAGTAACAGTGACTGGTTACGATATTTGCTCATGGTTTTTGTAGTGGCAGAAAATAATACGATATTAATTGAACTTTTGAGGATTCTTGAATTTCCATGTCAATTCTACCCAAATAGTATAGATACAGCACTCTATTTTAGATTGAGATTTTCCATGTCAAATTCTACCCCAAAGTGCCTAGTAAAAAGGAATAATTAAAGAGTCCCAGGTGAAATTCCAAGGTTTTTGGTGCAACTATAAAAATCCCTGCAACATAATTTTACTGCTGCTTGTGAAATTTCATTTTTAATAGTTTGGTACGTGGATTCACTGTTGAGTCTGTAGATGTTTGCTATCACTTTGTTGTTAAGCTGTAACCCTTATCTATGGGCCTGCTAGTTTTTATTTCTTGATATAATACTGCAGACTTTCCCCTGTTGATTTTTCTTTATTGCATCTGATGTGGTTTGATCTTGTTGCACGTTATATTTCCTTTTTTTAATTTGTCTTCTCTTTCTTTGGTCAACTAACTGGAGTATATGCTTCATTGAATACTTTTAGGGAAGAGAAGAGCCTTGATTCCGCCATCAACGGGATATGTAAATGAAAGTTTGAAACCCATCCCAGAGGAGGTTATTTTTCTCTTAGATGGAGTAGACTTGTTATCTATTTCTCCTTTTCTCCTTCATATATGCCTAAGATGTTTCTAGACATGTAACTCATCATGGTAGTTTATTGCAGTTTGGCCCTCGACGTAGCCTTCTGTCTCATGCAAATGAGCCTTTGATCTTTGAGGTGCAGCTTTTGAAAATATTGTAATGCCCTTTATATGCTTCGGCTTGCACATGTTGGTTGGAGTGCACGTCAGATAAGTTATCACATCTTCTGTAATTATGAAATTAGTTTATATGAAGCCATTTCTTGATTTATTGAAGCTCTTAATCTAGATCAGTACATCCTTTACAATTATGCCTGGCTGGATGATACGGAGTACTCTCTTTGCATATATATGAATATATCTTATAGGTCTCCCCTGTTTTTGTCGGCCTTATTGTGATTTATGATACATGAACCGTTGATAGAGACATAAGGAACATAAATCAATTCTAATTTTGATGGCTTGTGAGGATAACCTGTTAATCTGTTGAATCTACGAATAGCCTCAAGATGATGTCACGTGTGGTTTCTGAGTACCCTAATACTATGTAGTGTTCGTAATTAATTAATAATGTATGTCCCTTGCCTAGTTGGCCTTTTTCTTTATTGAGGTTCTAAATACCCTCTATTCTCATGTCAATGTCAATGATAATGCATCTTCCTTAGTTCATGACTATTTGTATTGTTCATAAACTAATTTTTATTTATATATTTTTTTTTAATTTTTTTTGTTTACTTTACTAATCTATGATTAAATAGTTATTATAAATGCTGTTGGATTTATACTCAAATGTATATAATCAAAAATAAAATATCACATTTTCTTGTGTAATTGAAGTAAAGTATGTAAATAGTTTACATTAGAGAAATGTTGCAAGTAATAAAAAAAAAAAAAAAGTGGAGGAAGTATTAAATATAAGAATCATGATACCGTCCTATGAATTAGAAGGTTAGAATTCAATCTTTTGTAATATATAAAGCTTGGAAGATAAATCAATTGACCCTTTGCTTGGGAGACTTACTTGGTTTAAACTCTTGAATAACTTCATTTATTTGAGATGGAAGGGAAATGTACTTCAACGTCGGGCAATCTCTATGTACTGCCAGACGGAGCTGAAGTAGAGCATTTTTTCCGGCTTTTACTGTCCTCAAATTTGTTAACCGTCTGATACGTAACACTTGTAGTTTCCTCAGCCCCTTGTAACCAAAATCCAAGACCTTACCATCATATGCATTATCAAGTTCAAGCACTAGCAATTCTTGCATCACCTTGAGCTTTTCGAGCGGATCGCTCTCAAAACCTGAGTTTTTCAACAGCAACCTAACCAAATGCTTGAGTTTATGTATCCATATTGGCAATTGTTTTTGCTTCAAAGGCCCTATTAAGTAAAGCCGCTCTAGAAATTCAGGAGGAGATTTGATGTGGCTCAAATCAAGAACATCTTCATCACTTAGCATTCTTACACTCAATGATCGGAGCTGTTTCATATTTTCTAATGCCTTACACAAGGTTTTTATGTTCTCCTTCTTCATATTTACGATTGCCAACCTTCTCAATCGTGTTAGCTTGTCCAAACCAGGCACTAAACCAACAATAAGTTTGGAACTGCCATCCTCCTTCTGTGAATTTTCTTCTTGTAATTCCTCCTTTTGAGGATCCTCCTTTGGTAAATAGAGACTTCCATCTACAAATGCTAGCTTTTGCAGGTCCTTGAAGTTACTGAATACCCCTTCGGGTATCTTTACTGGCACCATCTTCTCGTCTTCATTATAATGGCATACAAGAAGATGTCGGAGCTTGTGAAGGCGATTTATTCCTATTGGTAGCTCCTTTACATCAGTGTTTTTGAGATCCAAGGTTTGAAGGTTCCAGAGTCCACCTATAGTTTCCGGCAGTTTATTAACCTTGGTATTTCTGATGCTTAGATAACGCAAGTTATGCAGCTTTCCCACCACTCTCGGGACATCAACAAACTTGGCATTTTGAAGGTCAAGTACTTTTAGCCGGAATTCAGCTTCCTGGAATGGCGATGACCATGCAATCGGAAATTTTTCAAGTTGGACAAATGAAAGGATTGAGCGGACACTTGAGGCAATGACTGTATTTGGTGCATCCTTGTGAATCGAAAGCCTTCGACATTGATTGTTTGTGCTTAACCTGTTTTGCGTTAACACTTGACAAAAACTCAAGTCTGCCAACTTTTGGAACATTACATGTTGCCGCATACAGGGAAGTATTAATGTCCTGTTTCTTCCTGTTTCGTCGCTTTTCAAGAGATGAAGCATACCTATAAGATACATATTTGTATGTCAGAAGGAGCTCTAACATTTAACTTATTTTGTTAGAACTTAATTTCATAAGTAAAGTAGAATAGAGCCTTATATCCTAGAGTTATTCAGATTTGATATGGAAGAATGGAACCTAAGTACATATTCTGTTTCGAAACCATACCTCTTTCAACTAGTTCATTAAGATATTCTTCTGCAGCTTCTTCGAGAGTGCTATGATCCTTGGCTTCCACAAAACCTTCAGCAATCCATAGACGAACTACTCTCGTTCTTTTGAATTTGCAACTTTTAGGAAACATGCATAAATACAGGAAACAAGGCTTAAGATGATAAGGCATCTCGTGGTAGCCGCTGAAGAGTAGATTGTCCTTGCTCCATTCCGGCGATACAGGGTTGATTTGGAAATTCTGATACAACTCAATCCACTTATCCGTGGTTGAGAAAATTGCCCCTACTTTCTCTATCAGGAAGGGCAAACCATCACATTCTTTCACAATTTTGTCCCGTAAACTTGTTAGCTTCCGAGGGCACTTTCCTTCGTTCCCAAATGCCTTCTTATTGAAGAGACGCTTGGCCTCTTCTTCAGATAAAACTTGCAGATTGTAGGCTTCACCGTAAGTACTTGAAGTCTTCCAGTAATTTGCAATGTGTTCACTTTTCATTGTCATTAGTATTCGACCACCTTTGCTGTAACTAGGTACCGAGTAGCCTGAATGATCTTAGACAACTCCTCCATTTCCGAAACATCATCAAGAACCACCAAGTACCTGTAAACAGAAACAAACATCGGTACATATTCAGCTATTTTTTCCAAACCTTATTGTTTGAACCAATGAAGGTATATAGTTAACACAGTACATCTATAAACGAGTAATGTTGCATATTTATCTATTGTTCAGACATAGTAACCCGACTTATATAAGCTGTAATAGTATGTTTTACACATTGCAATGCGACAAGTGACTCGAATGAGTTACTGAACTGCTTGATGCAAGTCCCTGGATCATTATTTTGATTATCAGGTATATACAGCTGACATTTTTATTAGCAGAGTAACAATAGTTAGGATTATTCCTGTCAAATACATACGAGTAAGAACTGAATATCAAAGAATCAGCAATCATGTTCATGAATAGAATTATGAATCAAGTCTGCAAAAATTATTACCCTATTTGGCATCGTTTATCATTAGGTAACTCCTTAAACGATCAGTGATCGTCGCCTCATTATCTGGTAATTTCTGCACTTCGTCTACAGAAATACTGTCAGCAGAAACATTGTCTGCAGAAGAATAACTATGTATGAACTGTTTAAACAAACACTTAAGTAGAGCAACACTTGAGTAAGGCTTGGTTGCTGTGATCCAAGCATAGTATGAGAAATTCTTCCTTTCATTCTCGTACACTTTTTGAACAAGCGTTGTCTTCCCAAGTCCCGGCTGACCCCAAACTGCTAACACAAACTGTTTACTGTCATACTCCTCATCCTCCAAACGTAATTTCTTCTTTACAATCGATTCACGTTCCTTAAACCCTACGAAATTTTCCTCATCCTTATAAAGCGGACAAGTTCCAGGGTCAAGCTTCTTTTCCCCCGAATCTTCCTCAACAAGAGCAAAAATCGTTTCCTCATAACCTTTTCCATTTCCTTTTATCTTCTCCATTGCATTTTTAATCCTTACAATCGAGCAAGCAATCCCACGTTTGTCCTTGTAACCCTCGACATCTTTAGAACCTTGATCTAATAATTTCCACATTCCGGTCATGCACCCTTTGTCATCTCCTTCGCGTTGGTGGCCTGATTGTTGTTGGTCAATCAGCTCGCAGTCATCTATGATATCTTCAATCTTAAACACCAATGACCTTAACTTACTCACTTGCTTGAGCTTATCTTTTGATCTGTCTTCTATTCTGTCTACCTTTACCTCGACTTTCTTCAAGTAATCTTTAGCGATCTCCATTTCATTTTTGATGTCACTTACTAATTCCGGGACACTCTGAAACTTTCGTGTCTCGGCCTGTAGTACAGGGACAACCTTCTCCATCAGAAAACTCAGCAATTTCTCTGGTATTGGTATTGCTAGAGCCATAACTTTCTCTGCAAACATATAAAAATATTACAAACTTTCATATAATTTAAACACATACTAGAGGATACTTAGCAATTTTCTCGGTAATGGATTGTAATTAATAAATTATATTTCAAGTTAATATTTTTACTTTTAGTTATCTTATCCAACGTTCTTGGGACGTTTATTAGCTTTTACATTTTTTTTTTCTTTTAACACTTTAATTTGAATTGCAAAATGAAATTGTGGGAATGAGATGTATTGTGAGACCTATTCGGCCTTTTTATTGGGCTTCCTCTATCCCAAAATATACAGTGTCTATTTCATTTTGCACGATATCTTTTGACACCATCAATATTTATAAGGTAAAATTGGTATAAACCACCTTTTTTGTCAAATTTTTTTTAAAAAACCATTTTTTTAAAAAAATCACCTTTTAAGTACCTAAGTTTTTGATTGCACCACCCCTATTTCCAATATGAAATTTATATGTTTTTGCTTCACATAGTATTATTAGTTTTCTTGTGAGTTATGTACAATTTATTACATAAAAATTTGGTATAGTTTATGGCCTTATAATCTAATTTTTCTTAGACTTGAAATTAAAATAAAATACATTCATCATATCAAATTTAGCATACGGCATTCCTAGACTTCACGTTGCAATCTATATATATCATGTACTCCTAAAAAATTGAGTTTCGATCAACACGAAAAAAGATCTAACTTACAATCTACTAGCACAATTTGAATCTTATCTATATTCTTGAAAAATTTAAGGCATTAGAATGAAGATCAAGCCGTTCATTATTAAAAATGTAGTATAAAAAATATTCATATTTTAAATAAGATTAATAGTTGAGGAAAGAAAAAAAAAATACCTGGGAAATTTGTAGATGTATAATATATACTTCGTATGTCGTTTAAACCGGGCTAAACCGGTTCGTCGGCCAGTTGATCGGAAGCTAATAAGCTTGCTAGCTTAGTGAGAGAGTAGATCAGACTTTGAATCGATCTTGAGTTGGTTGTATGTATATATATATATATATATACTTGTATATGTTTTTAATTGCATAGAAGCATTTATAAACTTTTTTTTTTGACAAAAGAAGCATTTATAAACTAGCTACATACTACTCTAGCTAGTTAAATTTGGGGAGCCTTGGAGTAGTAGTTGTATTGTATTTGTCATGAACTTGGAATTAAAAAGTATAAGACATTATAAATACACTAGTTGAGTTTTTAAAATTTGATATACAACTAGTTGAATTAGTATGAAGCATCTAATTAGCATCAAAAAAAAAAAAGTATGAAGCATCTAATTAGAATTAATCTAAAGTCAAACTTTGTTTGTCATCTCACAACTAGCATTAATTTCTTGTCTTGTACTAAAAAAAAAAAAAAAAAAAAAAAAAGAAAAAAAGATTCATTATAAATTCAATTTTACTCTTTGTATGTAGTTTTTACTTTTTAGTGATGAATGATTGTTTTAATTATCTTTTTCAATTTTATCTGTTTATATGTATTCCGTAGTTTTTAGGGCTTTGTAAATCATTATTATTTTTATTAAGTATATACTCTATATATAAAAATTACTCAATGGTTAAAACAAATAATGTGTTTTTATGTGAATGTGATCCATCTATTGAAAAAATGAAAATGAAGAATTATTCCTATTTTACGTACTTTCATAAATTTCAACTAACTATAATTGATTTTTACGAAGAATTTAACATGACTCTCCTCTAAAAGTTGCTATGTCGTTATTCAATATTGATTAAAAAAATAACATCTACCCAAATCCAAAGGTAACCAAATTAAAACCTTCCTTGGGATAAATAAATAAATTATGCCTAAGTTCACAATTATATACCTAAAGCTCTTCATTAAAAAAAAAAAACCCCAAAGCTCTTCATTTGTTAATTATTTAATCAACTAGCACTCCGTATATCCTAAGCCACCGTGATTAAGGGTATAAAGATATTACTCCTTATAGTTTATAAAATGTAGATGTAATTAGTAAGTGTATTTGGCGGAAAATCTGATTTAGTAAACTTTCTTTAATAAAATTCATCCATTCTTTGAAAAAAATAAAAACCCTCATCCATTTTTTTTTTTTTTATTTTTATTTACACTTAAATTTTACAGTTTACACATTTTTTACCACGTATACATTTAATAATGTATAATACGAGTTAAAAATCTAGAAAATTGAGAATATATTTCAAGTCAAATTTAACAAATCATCTAATCTAATGTATTGGTAAAACAAACTATATACCTAGCTATCTTTTTCATATGTTTGCCAAATCTATAGCAACCAACAACTAACTGTTACAAGACTTGCAAAGGTTAAAAACTATGGAGTTGTGGAGTACTTCCGAAGGTTGTGAAATAGATAGCTTATTATAATAGGATGTCTTTAATGCACGACATGAGACAAAATAGCCTGTTTAGAATTTAAATAGAATAGTAAAAAATAATTAAAAATTTTCAATCCATACTACTTTACATTTAATTAATGCAATGATCAATAAATGTGGTGTTAGATAAGATAATTAAAATAAATTATTAAAATTTTTTTGACAAGAAGAAAAATATTAAATTAAAATAAATATTAATTACACTAATTAGCTCATAATTTTGACATGCATTTCTAAATTAATAATATGTTAGGAAAATTTTAAAATTATTATCTGACACTCCGTAAACCTTCGTTATCAAGATCTTTAAATTAATACAATGGTCAATGAAGTAAAAGTCTTTTAAGGGCATCTAGCTAGCTAGATGACTAGGTATTATTGAATTCTTCTAGATTTTACAAGTAATATTTTAAGATGACTATTTATTTTTATTTTTTTTGGGGGGGGGGGGGGTGGGTGGGTGTGTGTGTTAAAGATGACTAGGTGTTATTGTATTCTTCTTTTTTTTTTTTTGGGGGGGGGGGGGGAGGGGGGGTTGGGGGTTGGTTTAAGATGACTTCAACAACCTTAAAAATATCATCAATTTGTAAGAAGTAGCAATATTTTGTTTGTGATTAGATCTACAAGATAAGGTGGAACAGATTCCGGGAAGTACCTATTTGGCCTGACTTTTTTGTTTTGTGTTTGGTTGGTATGACTACTCTAGTACTCTTAAGGTTGTCGGTATTTAGAGGTCTCGAGTAAGTTGATATATGACTGTCATAAACTCAGTGGTGGAACCATAATTTATTTATTTACTTTTTTACCTTGTATCTCATTAAAAAACATAAAAACGATTATTTATATTTCGTTGTAATATTTATTAAAATCTCCAGACTGAGACCCAATTATTAAAACAAAAATCAATAATTGAGTTAAGTACAATAAAATAAATAAATAGCGAGCGAGCTAGGGTGACAAATGCTTTTACTGAGTGCGCTAAAACAAATTTGTATTAAAAAATTGCAATGCAATAGATTCAAATCCCACGATGAGAAAAATAAAGTATGAATTTTGCAAACTAAATCTACTACTCTGTACAACTTAACATGTAAATTTATTGCTACTTCTAAGAAATAAAAACAGCCAGCAAGGGGGAGGTCATGAGCTACGCCAACCCCCCTTGGTTCTGCCACTGATGATAACTAAAACCACTCATATATTTACTGAGTTTATGACATCATAAACCTAAAACCTCTCGCATATTTGATTGCTTGTGTATGGTCATTTCATTAGGTTTTTGGTACTTGAGACACATGAGTTTTAATTAAACTAAATCCAAAGAAACATACAAAATTAAAGCATTTTGGACATTTTTTTTTTATTTTTTTTTATAAGTACATACGTACGTTACTTTAATTAATACATTTGTCAATGTTCAACTTTCCGGCATGAACCGATTTTAGTATAAATACCCCTAATTGAAACAGTAGAGGCACTTTTTAATTTTTTTTTTTTATGAACTTATTTTTTTTTTTATTTTTGAAAATTTCTTAGCCAAGGTGCCCCATAATCCCGACCTAGATCCTTAATCCGTTCCGGGTGGGGAATTTGTAGCCTAGTTGGAATTGTTTATTTTAGTTGACTTCTTAATGAAGCTAAATTCATTAATGTGTTAAAATTAGACATTTCAAATAACATTATTATCCTTCAAAAAAAAAAAAAAAAAAAAAAACAAAAAAAAACCCTTCCATTATTATCAGGCAATATATTAAACATGTACTGTACTTGCATGGTTGTTGCATTCACATGCACGACTTTTTCTCTTGAAAATTTTGGATGAAAAATTAGATCTTTAATAATACAACAATAATTAACTTATTTATTTTCTCTAATTACCATAGATTAATTAGCATATGTACGGAGTATTAATTAACTAAGACAATTTCTTGTCAAAAAAAAAAAATAATAATTAACTAAGACAATTTATATTATTTTTTTTTTCTCAACACACATTCATTATATTCCTTCTAGTTCTACCTACTATACTCTGGGAATTTCCTTAGACCAGCATCATTCAAATGGATTCAGACTCTGATCTCTACCAGAATCTGATCTCGACCGACGTCGAAAATACAACAGCATATGCTATTAATGCTTGTTCTCCGAACTTGGTTATGGTTACTTCTGTTAATACATCCATTTTGTCTTCCTTTTCAAGATGTTTACCTTTCTTCATCACACCTACCGCACCTTCTTCCAAGTCGACTGATCCCTCGACTATTGATCAGTCTAAGTGCGAGTCCGAGTCTGAGTCTGAGTCTGATTCTATCGCCCGTAAGTTTGATGATGAGTATGAAAGGACAAAGTTGGTTAATATCATGAAAGCTGGTTTTCAGCTCTTAATTTCTGAAGTTGATGACAAAAGTCAATATACCTCTCTTGGAATAAAGGTAAATTTTTTGTTATTGTAATTGATCGCCATTTGACATTTACACTATTCATATATGAGATTTGACTTGAGTTCTTTAAAATGCGAAACAACTAATTATAGGTTATATTGGAGATTGATCATGAACAAATTCAAGAGGAACTTGAAGATTCGGCCAAAGCAACACCTTGCGATGAATCTCCAACATATAAATTGGAAGCCGAAGGTTCGATCTAAAAATTCTAAATGCTAGTACCTCTATCTCTTTTATTAGGGGAAATTCCCTGTTTCTCATATTGAGAAAAAAACGAAATTTGTTTCTCATGATGGCATTTCTGTGAATAAATCAATAACTTTTATTGTGGGTTTCACAATTGTATAAAGTTGAAAAAGTTGAAAAAAATTGTTGGCTTATTTACGAAAATGCCATGTGAGAGTTTCTTACTATGAGAAATTGGGGCATCCTCAGTTCGATCATCACATCGGAGTTTTGTTATTTTTTAAGAGTAAAGTCGTGATCTCGTCTAATTTTTTTTAACATTAATAAATAATTCAAAATCATTAAATCACAACCGTTTAATTTTAAAAATTGTGATAGTCGTATTTCTTGTAGAATTTTCTGTGACCCCGTATTTTTATTTACACAATATGTTATTAGGCAAACTTAAAAGAAAAAGGGGCAATTAAATAAAAGGTGTACGTAGAAGGATTTCAATTATATTTATTTGTTGTTGCTTGCAGATGCAATTGGATTAATTTTAGACTATGCAGGATTTTGGATATATAGTTGCTCCTCTGTAAGTTGAGCTTTATGTAATTTGATTTTGGTTGAAAATTTTGTGCACATTTAATTTATTAGGTGAAGAAAACCTATACTAGTTAGTATATATGTATTTCTACTGTATTTTTTCTGCTTAGCCTTAGTTGTCCTGTTTTTGTACAGCTTTGTACAGCTTTCTCTAGCTGTTCTTTTATGTTCTTTTGTGCAGACTAGGTGTCTGCTTCTTAGTGGCTGTTTTTGTGTATATTATGTAACTTTTCTAGGTTTGCTGATCCCTAAGTGGATTGTGCGCCGTTTTACACTCAATACAGAGAAAAACATTCTCCCAATTATTGCTTGAGAGAAAGGCTCACTGCACAAAAATATTCTGAAATTCTTGAGAAATCTGATCATACTGTCAGATTTCCACATGGTATCAGAGCTTTCAGGTTAAATCATCCTGAAAGTTTCAATCT